TATCATATTCATCAATCTGGAGCCGCGAAAAATCGTATTATTCATGTTGCATTGTCAATCTTCAAGCTCTAAGGTTATCACAGGTAGGGAAGTAAAATAAGTATCTTTACCTCAGCAAAACTATCCATTATCATGGTAATTTAATCGATTTCTTCTGACAAATTCATTGATTAGTGAAGTATAAACCCCAAAATCTGAAACCATCCTTTTTACTTTCAGTTCTTCAGCATCTCTAACTTTTCCATGCTTGCAATGTCCGTCCAAAAAGAATGTTGTATGTTATATCATCTGGGCACACCCCAATATTAAACATCGCATTCAGAAGCATGTCTGCATTCTTCATCTGCCCCAGAATGCAGAAGTTTAATTCATAACCACATTATATGTTACACAACTCGGTTTTCGCCCTTATTCTGCATCTCTTTCAGTAGCTTAAAGCCTGTCTTCACATCACTATTCTTACAGAAGGCATCAATCACCATTGTGTATGTCGTGTGTTGTCAGGTTCCAAACCAACCTCCACCATCTCATAGGATCCTTTTCGCATCAACTGAACGCCCCCCTGCCTGCTCAGTCCCGAGATGAGCGCAGTGGTATGTGACCTCATCCAATGCAATCCCCTTTCTGCCTGACATCTCTTGTTTCATCTCCATTGCCATGTCCAACTCCCCCTCCTTGCAGCAGCCATCGATGAGTGTGGTGTAAGTAATCTTGTCCGGCTTGAGACCATTGTCTCATCTCTCCCACAATGTCATTGGCTGCTTTCAAATCTCGCACCCGACAAAGACCATTCACCAAAGAATTGTATGCCACCAAATCCGTCTTGATGCCCCTTGTAACCATATCCTGGTGCAACTCCAACCCAGCTGCCACATTCCCCTCCTTGCAATGTGCGTCTATCAATGTCGTGAACACAACAGTGTTGGGGTTCACACCTCTCTCACGCATTTCCTCAAACATCTCCACTGCATCACGTATCCTCCCTGTCTTACACAACCCTTGCATAAAAGCACCATAGGTGTACACATCTGGTGCGACTCCTACCTTCTCCATTAGCCCTCGGAGAGCATTTTGCACTGTTCAGATCGGATGCCTTGCACATCCCAGACATCAATGTGTTGAAGGTCACTACTGTTGGCTGCACACCCTCCTCAACATTTCATCGAACACATTCCGCGCACTGGCAAGTTTGCCTGATCTAATCATGTCACGCATTAGCATGTTAAACTGCTTGGCCTCCGGGGGCACGCCTGCGTCGAGCAGCTGCAGGTAGAAGGTGTAGGCTTCAGGAACAGAGGGAAGCCGATTCATGAGATCGGACCACGCGGGCAGGTGACGCGGACGCCGCGGCGGAGCGCGAGGAGGAGGAGGGAGCATCCATCGGGTAGGGAGGCCCTCATCGGCGTATAAGCTTTGGCGACCGCGGACACGAGTGGTGCCGGGTCATCGGTGGAGGCTGCGGAGAGGAGCAGCAGTGGGAGGAGCCGCGGCGGGGAGTCGCAGCCAAGGCGGGGAGACGAGGAGGCGGAGGAGGGGGGTGCAAGGTGGGGAGGCGGTGGGCGATGAGGAGGTGAGACATGGAGAGGAAGGAGGCCGGGGTGTGGCGGAAGAGGCCCGGCGGCGAGGGCGAGGAGGACGCGGAAGAGGGAGAGGAGCGGAGCGGCTGGAGGGCGAGCGGGTTGCGGCGGAGGAGGAGAGGAAGTGCGCGGAGGTGAAGGCCGGGAGGAGGCGGAGCAGGGCGCAGGCGCGGCGGCCGGGAGCGGCGCCGGGTGGACGGGGAGGCCGAGCGCAACCTCGGACGCCGCGACGAGAGAGAGGATCGGCCTCGCCCGGGGGCGGGAGCGTCGACCGCGGCGCCGCGTACCATGGGGAGAAACGGGCGGCGGGGTTCAGCGGCCGGCGGCGCCGCTGGATGGGGCGAGAGCGGAGGGCTTTGCCTCTGTGCATTGTGGTCGCCTGATCGGTTGGGAGGCAGAGCGCCAAGTTTAAAGATAACTGGTGCAGAAAACAAACTGATTCAGTTGGTAAATCTGCAGGGGTAATCAGAACACTCTATAGACACATTTGTCGATCTATATGGTAAATCCCTTATGCCCTGGATCCATCTATGAGTCCAAAAGCTCATCTTGCCACCGTCTCCGACTTGAATGATCAGGAACGCCTCAAGCATTGCCTTGACAATGCGTTCAGAGCTGCGAGGCAAATTGATCCAGATTCTACTGTCGTCGGTTCATCGTAGCCTCCCACCTCAAACGAAGGGAGAATGGGGACTACAACAACTAAAAATATGTTCATGATTTGAAGAGTGAAGTCACTGGTCGTTATAAAACAAAGGAATACCATAGAGGGTATTGAAATTCATCCTATCACCAATAGGAGAATAGGCATATGCACAATATCTCTTTAGGTAAAAACAGAAATATTCACAAGTAGTAAGTAACAGTGAATCCCATATTAGGTCAGGAGTAACAGTAACCTGCTCACATCAGTTGACAGTCCAAACAATGACATAAATGGAATAAGGCAAAGAGAAACAGGATCCATCGACACCGAAGAATCCTGACAAAAGCACTGTTGAATCTGAAGCTATTTTTTCTGAGCATTATGCAGATAAATTATCAGCATGTAGTGGTATTCTATACTGGCCACAATTTCTTCAAATCGAGCGGGGTTATTAGAAACAATAACAGTATAACGAGGTATAGACAACCATGTTTAAGAGTAGCGACACACAAGAGCTACAGATCCATGTCATATGCTCAATTCATCCTCATTGCAGTATGTGTTATAGATCTGAATAAATGATTATCTCAAATAGAATCTCACTGGTTAGCAAACAAGAAAAGCCTTGTTGAAGCAAGCTGCACAAACCCCAGTTGCAGAAAACCTATTGGCCACCATACGAACCAAAACATTAGGTGTATACTCCCACTCCCAAGCTGTAGCCAGGAACCCTTTTCCTCAGCATTCAGTTACAGCCTGCAAAGAAACCAAAATCCAATTTTTTAACAGCTAGATAACAATAGTTACCCATGTGTCAAAGAAAGAAAGGGCCAAAGAAAGAAGAGAAATCAAAATGCCTTGATATTGAGGTGGCTCAGCTAGGCAACAAATTGCCTTGTCAGACAATCTGGATACCTCTTGGGCGTGCACAGGCGATGCTGCCGACGAACCAAAGTGAGGAAATAGCAATTGTTTGAGAATGAGGAAGGAACAACAATGTTCAAATAGCTAAGTAAGCAAAAGAGGAGCAGGTATTGACAAGAGTGTTGTTTCTGAATCTATTCCAGCCGTTGTTATTTCTCCAATGAATCAACAAGGTGGAATATGCAAGGAAATAATAGACAAGGTCAGTGTATGTGTTATGGTCGGTCAAGTGTATCAGAGGCGCAAGCGTGCACGTGGCTAGGTGCAACGCGCGCATGCGCCGGCGCGTGGTGACCGCGCCCAGGTTCAGTCCAGATTCGGAGTCCTAGTTTCTAGGATCTTGATTTGATTCAGTTCAAGTTGTTAGGCAGGGAGTAATTTTAGGAACTTTCAGTTGTAAGATTGGGCCATATAAGCCAATCAATTATTCAATAATGAAACAGGCAGAGATTGAGAAAGCTCTCTCTCGCCCTTGAGCCCCAATCGACTCTCTCTCTCTTGTCTGTTGTCAGCCGACCGTCGGAGACGGCGTCGAACGCACCACCTGTTGAGAGACTTCGTCCCAAACCTCCCACGTCCCATAGCTACAACCTCCGGAGCATCACTAACGATCCTAACAACCTGGTATCAGTGTCAGGCCTGATGTCCGGAGTTAACACCACCACCGTTCCGCCCACCTCCGCCGTTTCCCCAACCACCACCGCCGCCGTTAACCAATACCACCACCGTGACCACCACCACCGTTCGCCCCGCCACCACCCTCATCTCCGATGGACACCCTCGCTGGGTTGCGATTGCGGCAGCAGAACAGATGGGCCGAGCCACATTAAGGTTTGTCGGCCATGGAGGGCCACACTTCACCATTACCGGCGGTCCATCGCCCCTCTCGCCGTCCACCGCTCTCCGTATGGGCTGCTCGGTAATGGGCGGCGTTCATCATGCTGCCTACCACGGACTCCGTCGTGGTCCATACCTGCGCCATGTGGGGCAGCGAATCCGCCACCACCGATCGTCGCCAATCCACCGATTCCGTTCCACACTCGCCGTCTCCATTGCCGCTGCGTTCGACATGTCCTCGCCTCGCGCAGCACCGGGCGCCGTCTGAGGGACACGCGGATGCGTTAGGCGTTCCGCGCGCCCGAGTTGAACTTCCCCACGTTCGACAGGCGTCGACAACCCTCTCGTTGGTCGAACAAGTGTGACCACTTCTTCGGCGTACGCGGCGCACGCCGGAGGGGCGACAAAGTTATGGTTGGCGCCCTTTCACATGAATGGTGTTGCGCGGCGATGGTACTACATGCTCGAAGCGGCGACCACTACGACGGCGCCGCCGCCATCTCGGCACCGTATTCAAGGCGCTATGTTACGGCCCGCCGGACCACCCTCGCCACCAACCATCTCTCGATTTGGGCGGCTACCGCTCGATGGATCCGTTCGGCGGTACCAGAGGCGTTCTTGGCTCAAAATTTGGCGACGCCGAGGCCCTCACCCCGTCGCAAAAGTGCGGCTCTTCACCGGGGCCTACCGAACCCATCCGCACCGATGTGGAGCCGCGAGGGCTTATCGATCTCAACGGGCTATGGGATTGGCCGTGCGCTCTGGCGAAGCGCCACAAGGCTGCTTTCGTGCGGTGGCGCCACCACCACCACGCTTCGCCGCTGCAGCACATTGGCCGCTTCTGCTAAGCGCCGACGTCGACACATTCAGAAGCTGCTTGGCTGGCGGCGCGAACCCGACTCCTCCACCTCGACCGTTCAAACGGCTGTCGCCAACGGAGATGGCGGATCGTCGGAGCAAGGGCTGTGCTACAACTGCGACGAGCCGTACGTCCGAGGCCACCGATGCCAGCGCCTCTTCTACTTGGAGGTCACCGACTTCCACGACTCGGAGCCCCCCCTGCCGGACGAGGAGAGCAGTCCCCACCGCCAGCGGTGAGCGGGTAGCCGCTCATCGCCATTCGCCGAAAGCGCGATCACCAGACATTCGGACGGAGGACATGATGCAAGTCCACATCGCCGCCGGCAACTCACGAGCTCACCGCCTCATCGACTCCGGGTCCACTCATAACTTCATCAGCTCCATGGCACGCCGCCGTGTCGGCCTCCACTTCACGGCGGCAAGAAGCGCGCCACGTGGTGGTTGCCAAGCGGCGACCAGCGTGGCCGCTGGCGGCTTCGGCTCGCGACGTAGCCATCCGCGTCGGCGAAGAACACTTCACCGCCGATCGCTACACCATTCCACTCGACTGCTACGATATGGTCCTAGGTGTCAAGTACTTACGCACCCTGGGCCCTATCTTGTGGGACTTCGACGACCTGTGCATGGCGTTCTGGCACAACGGCAAGCGCGTCCTCTAGAAGGGGATCGGCTCCATGCGCACGGACACTCCACCAACGGGGCGGCTGCATGCGGTTCGCGATGCCGAGCCGGCATTGTTGGACCGTCGCTGGACTC